TTTAACTATAATTTATTTTTTTATTTTTTCCTATATACCTTTAAAGATTCTAAATATTACAACACCTATTAATTATGTTTTGGACTTTTAAAATAGGATGAACGATTAGTATATTAGAATTTCAAAATTAATTATTTTTAGATTTTTTTTTCACTATCTAGAAAAATCCAACCACATTACTTGTTATAAAGGGGTTTTGAAGAGTAATTTTTTAAAAAATAAACTTTTATGTTAATTAATAATTAATTTGATGAAATATTTTTTTTTTTTTTGAGGGGATAATTTACGCACGTGCAAAAATGATGTTTAAAATTTTAAACATATCGGGCATATACATTAAACATTACCGTTAAAATAATTGCAATGAGGACCACCAACTTCCCTGCTGTAGTCCAAGCTGGCGGCTTCTCTTTCCGTACATAATACAAACACTAGGTGTTCATTTTATTCGTTGACTTCCAAGGATGATTACTATTTTATATTTTAGGATATTTAATTTTATTTAGTTGGTATTATTTTCAGAGAAGTTATTATTAAGGCCAAATAAAATAATTTCATTTGGACAAAATTACCCTCTTCTTTCATTGTACTTGGTTCATCTTCTTGTACCTAACTCTAAGCTCTTTTACGTGATTTGTTCTTCTTTCTTATAAGATGATGACATTGAAATAAAAAAAGTTAACACAAATAAATAAACAAAGTGTCTAGTTATTTATTGTTAATTGTTTATTCATACGGTTTAAATAAATCAAATATTAAATTTTTTAATTCAGGTATGGACAATTGAGCTTACGTTTATTAAAATTATCTCAAAATATGGTGAATTATAGAAGGGGAAAGAAAATTAGAGGGACAAGAGATATATTAAAGAAATTAGGATAAAAAAAGGGAGATAGAGAGGGAAGAAAAAAGGATAAAAAAACTGAATAAATACTTAACTCGAATATTTACTTATTCGAGTTAGCTGTATTAATTCGTATATCATCTATTATCAGTATCACACCTATTTATAAAGATAGGAGGATTGCACTCTAAGAAAAGTAAAGTTTCCTAAGATATTTACAATATATGTATGTCACTTATGTAAGTGTATAATTGATATGTTGCTTTACAGTTTTTGTATAAGTGTGATTTTTGAGGCCCAATTCACCCTCTTAGCATGTTTTTAATTACTAGAGATGTTTTTTTTCAATTGTGCCATCTTGGTCCTCTTATTTGGGCCTAATTTTTTAGGACGTCAACAACTTTCAACTTGACTCGGCTGGAACTCAATTTCCTTTTACAAACTCAAGTTCTAATTTGGGTCATTTATTTTCTTGAAACAGCTCAATTATAATTTATTGTTAATGTTTTTCTCCTCTACAGAATCAAGCTAAGTTTAAAATCAGTTCATGTATTAAATAAACTTAATCATAATTAGATTTAAGCTTGATTTATTAAAATTATTAAATGAATTTGAAAAAAAAAATTTAAACTGAATTTCGAGCAGCTCATAAATAATTTAATTTATTTAAAACACCATGTATAAATTTTAGTTTAGCTTTTTATTGAAATATTAAAATTAATTGTTTTAAAAAAATTATAAGTTATTATTATTGTGTGTAGTGTCTATATATATATGGAAAATTAATCATAACCAGAACTTCAAAATTAAAACACCTCATTGATTTGAAATTTAAAATTTGAAATTTGAAATTTCAAACTTTTACTCTTTTTTTTTTCACATTTGGTCATCATTCAACATAATAATTATGTACACAATGTTGAATTCTATAAGCATTAAAACTATTCTAACTTATCTGAATATTATTTGAGAAGTGTTGTTACAAATGCTTTTTTATTATATTCCTGATTAGGTAGCATCCATCTTATATTTAGTTTTATTAGTTATTAATTATTTAGTTCAAGAGTGATAAATGAATATTCCTATTTGTTGAATTTGTATTTTGTTCTTAGAATTTAAGACAGAGGTAAGCCTAATTTTTTAATTTTGTAATTCAAATTGTAATAATCAAGTTATGTTTTGAAATTTTTAGTTTGGGATTGTCAAATTGTTTCATTGGGATATTGATTTAATTATGTGTATTATTTATTTAGGGTGAAATTTAAATTATTTTTTTGTTCTACTTTTATATTATTAGCATTGTTGGTTTATTATTTCAGGTTGAAATTGTTTTTGATTGATTACATTTTTTTATATGTTTTCTATTGCACTTTCGAATATTGGATCCCTATTTTAAATTGGTTCAGGTTTCAAATGAATTGGATGAATTAATGATCAAATGGATTTGGATAGTACATGATAATTTTAAACCCGGGGGGGGTGGGGGGTTGGGTGGTTTGGGTTCGGGTAATTGATTTCTAGCAGTTACCCGCCCCGCTAGCAACCCTACCCCTCTCTCCTCTCTCTTCTATTGCAATTTGACACCACGAGAGTGGATAAGATCTAACCTCAAGCCCAACAACAATGGGGGGGGGGGGGTGTTGAGTTTGGGTAATTGATTTCTAGCAGTTACCTGCCCGCTGGTAACCCTACCCCTCTCTCCTCTATTGCAATTTGACACCACGAGAGTGGAGGTTCCTCCTCTTCATATCTTTGTCCTAAGATCTAACCTCAAGCCCAACAATAATCTCAAACCCGACTCCAATCCATTATTCCGTGGATGCTCAACCCGTGATTAAGATAGACCTGCGCTATACTCTTTTCTTTTATTTCTATAAATTTCAAAAGCATTATGATCTTTGATAATAGTGAATTCAAAATTCAATTCTCAAAGTCAACATTCTCAAAGTCAACAAAATTCAATTCTCAAAGTCAACATTCTCAAAGTCAACATTCTCAAAGTCAACATCAATTTTACGTGATCTGTGATCACTCGTTCACAATAGCCATCATTCTCCTTCGAATTTCGGCCGATCAAAGGTCAAGACCGTTACCAGGAGCTGCTCTCTTCATTAGTAATTTAATTGAATTTTTTGTAGTTTGATAATTATTAAATTTATTAAAAATAAAAAAGTTACTAACAGAATATAATGCTAATAATGTTCTAATGATAATTATAATTAGATCTTAATTTAAAATATAACTCGTGTGGAATGTGAAATTTAGGTCTACTTTCAGTAAGTTAGAATATGACTCATATAAAATATCATAAATGAACTTATAAAAAAAAGTATCAAACTTAATACTTTACCTAATATTATTCTTATTGCAATTACTTTTATTAGTATTGTCAAATATTTTCACTTTCCACATTATATAAAAAAAAAAAGTGTACAAAATTTCCATGCACTTGGACAAGTTGGGACATTGGAGATGGTCCTATTAGGTGGCTATGATTGTGACTAGCTTTGTTCATTCTTGATGTTTCATTATTTGGACAAAAAATTAAATAAATAGAGAACAAGGTTAAAAAAAACGTGACCCTTTGTTCCAAGTAATTTCTTGGAAAGTGCATACTGGCAACATAAAGTAATTTTTTCCTGTACTAAAGATTCTCTCTATGACTATGTTCCTGTTTCTTGATGTTGATTTTTCTTGGTGTTTTACTTTTCTTTTCTCTTTTTTTTTTTTTTTTTTTTTTTTTTTTTTTTTTTTTTTTTTTTTTTTTTTTTTTTTTTTTTTTTTTTTTTTTTTTTTGAAAAGACAAATGAAATCTTTTTTTCTTTTCAAGAAAATACACACATAAAATAAAATAAAGCATATGACATTATAATCATAAAATTAATATAAAAAATGCAAATAAGTTAGTTTTAAATTATTAAATATCCTATATTATAAGAAATTAAAATGGTGGGAAAAAATATAAGTTATGAAAAGAATTATTTCAATAATATATTTCAATGTAGCTTAAGAGGTGCTACAATTTCCAATAACTATACCAAAGAAATGTATAATACAGTCTAATAGGCTAAACAATTTCCAATAGCTACTCTGTAGCCCTGCCAATATTACACTGAGAGGTAGCAGTTTACCTTTTAATTGACATTTAGATAAAAATTTTTCAACGTTATCAAAGAGAATGATATATTAGATAAAAAATTTTCTCAATAATAATATCTTAATTGTTTTGTGATACTTGCACGAATTATTTAGGTCCGTATTCGCTTAACGGTTCATAAATCTGACTAATTTCTGCTCGTGTTTGGGGGTAAAGAAGCTGATCCGAGAGAGTTTGTATTACAAATGATTGAATCCATGGATTAAATCATAGTGATTAACTCTGTAACTGCTCTTAATTAAATTTTGAATAAAAATATATTTAAGTAATGTCTTCACGGTAGTGATGAAAGAAACAATATTCAAATAAAAGCCACTTAATAATGATAATTTAAATTTTCATTTCCTTAATTTTCAGGTAAAATTCTCCTGAAAAATACAATTTATTTTCACAGATTTAATTATATGTTTATGTAATTAAAGTATTTCATATGAGAAGTTTCCCAAGACAGCTAACTAGCACGAGCTTTGATTATAATCCAAGCAAGTTGTATATCCAACATAAAATGGATAATAATAAGACCTGTATTTTTTTTTTTTTTTCAAAAGAAGTTTTTGATTCTAGCGTATGCTTGTAGATAATCTGACCTTTATCATTAAGTTAGGGCAAAATAATATTAAGATTATATATGCTAATGCTAATATCTTTTATCGAGAACTCTCATCTTCAAAAATAATAAATCAGTAAAGTTATACCTAGAAGTCTAGTGTATATAGATTAAAGATTACAACAATTATAATTAATTATAACCTATTAATATATTCTCTAATGAAAAAAAATTAATACTTTATCTAATATTATTGTTATTACAATTACTGTAATATTAAAATATAATTATAATCTTCTAATTAATAATAATAATAATAATAATTCCCCTAAAAAAAAAAACAATAACTTCAATAATAACAACAATAATAAGAACAAAAAGAAATATCTGATCGTTAAAACCACGTAGTTTTGATGTAGTTTTGACGAAGGAGGTTTAAATGAATCAATAAACAAAACTACGTCGTCGGTTGCATTTTAATGATAGAAACAAAAACTTCTCTCAAATTTCAACTCAAAGTCAAGCGTTCTCCTCTCTCCCTACTCCCTGCGCCGCTCGTTTCTCCCTCTACATCCACAGACCACAGTCTTTCTTTATACCTTGCCGTCGCTTCCGTTCTTTACCGTCGCCTCAGCAGCAGTCGTGCTCTTCAAGCGTGCAAGTGCCAGGTTCGTTCTTGATTTTTTTTTTTATTTCGTTTCTCAGTTTTTTTTTTTTTTTTTTTTTTTTTTTTTTTTTTTTTTTTTTTCCGTTTCGCTTCGTCCCTTTTTCCTTTATTTATTTATTTATATAAATACATATAAACAGACAAAGAGGAGGAATTGTTGAATATATTGTTGAATTAAGTTGTGTTCTCTGTTTTTTTTTTTCGTTTGCTTCGTCCCTTTTCCTTTTTATTTATTTATTTATTTATATAAATACATATAAACAGACAAAGAGGAGGAATTGTTGAATATATTGTTGAATTGATTTGTGGGTTTAGCCGAGAGATATATGTCTATTGTTTTATTTTTTTCGTTTGTGGGTTTTTGCATGTTTTATTTGTTCAAAATATATTATTAAAAGGCAAAAGGATGGTGAATATAAGCCAATTCGTGGCTATATGAGTGAAATTTGACATGTTTGGTTTGTTAATAATGATTAAGATTGTGTAGAGCAGGTTGTGTAGAGATACTGAGAATGAGATTATTTGCGTATAATTGTCATATACTGAGAATGGTTTGGCAATAAAGTTTGGTTTTCTGCTGCTACAGTTTTATATATATATCGTATTCCTATCCAGTCTATATCTATCTTACGCTATCTTATACGAGTGTTACTTATTAAATATGATTCTACTAGGTACTTCTATAATGAAACGTTTAGTAACCTATATATATAATACCTGTTTTATAACCTATTCCCATATATTATATATATGAATTTAAGTAGGGTCTGTGATTTTATGATCAGGCTGCATTCTTTTTTTTTTTTTTTTTTTTTTTTCTTTTTTTGAGTGAAGGATATATGCCTAAGACTTGCGATAGCGATTTTTTTTTTTTTTTTTTGAGAAGGATATATGGCTGACTTGGATAGCGTGAACATTTAAGTGTTTAGTCATATTGCTACACTTTGAATTTGCTAGTTTAATTTGCTCCAAGTAAACTGTTGCTTTTAGATAGGAAATTACTAAACTCAATGAATTTTAGATAGTTTATCAAATTATTATAATATCAAAGTTCTTATTTATTTATTTTTCAGGTTCTTGTTCATGTGTGCAGTTGAATGTTTTTTGTGCCGAAGAAGATGTTGATTTTTAATCCTTGCAATCTTGGTTCTTGAATAAGTGGAGTCCAAGAATTATGTTTGTATTAAGAATATTATGTTTATGTCATTTCTTGTATTTTTGTTGTGGGGTTGTTCTGTTTTAATGTAATGTTTAATTCAGTAATTTTTTATTGAGATACTTTTTATTATGTTTTATATGGATTTAGTTTTCATTATATGATAATTTGTTACAGTTTAGTATTAATATATTTTAATTGATTGTGAGTTTGTTATTGTTATTATTCTTATTGAATTATATGGATTTAGTTTTCATTATATGATAATTTGTTACAGTTTAGTATTAATATATTTTAATTGATTGTGAGTTTGTTATTGTTATTATTCTTATTGAATTCTAATAGATGTTTGATTGTCAAATTGTTTATTGAGATATTGGTTCGAACTAGTTATTTAGGTTGAATTTCAATTGTTTTGTTTTATTTTAATATTACTATGTACTGTTGTTTTACCACATTAAAGGTTAAATTGTTTATTATTTTGAAGTCGAATTTTAATGTATTTTTATTATTAAATCTTGTGAAAAATTATGAGAAAGGTCAATTATGAGCTTCATTCTTTGCATTTTATTATGAAGAATACATTTACGTGATTATATATACATGAATCTGACAAATAATATCATGTGATGGAGAACAAAGATTACTGTAGTTATATAATTGAAACCATTATTCATACTATACCGTTATAAGTTGCGTGTAAACTGTGAAGCATTGAAAGATAAACCAAATTAGGTAAAGCAGTTAGTAAAATAAATTGTGCTTTTTTATCACTCAAATTCCAAAGTCTTAAATAGGATTTAGGGAGGATATATTTCTTCCCATGTCTAACTTATTTGGACCATTGTCTGATAGGATTTTGTCAAAAGGGTATCCATGCTGCATATTCCCTAATTCTACTTTGAATGATGCTATTATGTGTAGCAAAGGGATGATAATTAAATCTTACTATTAAAATTTTACCATGGTTTAGTCTTGTTTCTATGAAGCTGGATGTTCTAGTTTTTCCACTCACACGCAGAAGTTTACAACTTGATACTAGCTAGTTAGATATTTAAGTTTAATATTTCAGATTTCTGGTTGGTTTTATTCCTCTTTTTGGAAAAAAAAGAAACATTTTAGTATGATTTCCGTTTTGATTGTTGCATATATGTGTTTTTATGTATTATAAATGAGCAGGAGAAAGCATTCTGATTTGACCGGAAAACTTATTAAATATTTTAGTTTTGTTGTGTTTTAATAGATTTTGGTTGTGTAATTTTTTATTGAGGTATTGGTTTGCTTGCGTATTGCATCCATTTAGTTTGAATCTTGTATAGTACTTTTTATCAGGGTTTGGGTATTAAACAGTTATTACGGGTTGGAGTATTTGTATGTTGTATGGATTTTGGTTATCTTGGGTTGAACTGATATTTATATCAGTTCAGGTCGTATATGAGTGACACTAATTGGATTTGAAATGGATACAGGTAATGCTAATGTAATTTTAAAAGGGTTGAGGTACCTTAGCGGGTTTAGAAATGGGGAGGGCACCTTTCGCGGGTACCCTACCCATTACAATCCCTAGACTGGCTGTGTTGGGGGGGGGGGGGGGGGACCCATTAACAATCCCATTTCAGACTGCTTGTTGAGTGGGGGGGGACGGCGAGCAATAAATATGGTGACATAATTTCTTGATAATTTTTATTTATAATCTTTTTATTGAATTACTTGGGGGGGGGGGGGGGGGAGGCAATAATAGGGTGACATAATTTCTTGAAATTTTTATTTTATAATTCTTTTTTGAATTACTCTTTACTCTCTCTTAATAATACATGTAATACACGCCCCTTTCTTCAGTCAAAATAAGGTCTAATTGACCATAAAATGAAATTATTATACTAAATTAGTCCAAAAGTTCATTTTAGTTTTAATTGGACATTGGTTAGAAGTTACAGGTAGTAATTGAGAGTATTTGCGGAACATCATTAAGCACATTCTCCAAAGTCTGATCTTGGAGAAATTCCAATTATTATTTGCTCTTTTTTCTTCTCCTTTCTTCCTTTTAGTTGTTTTATTTCTTCTCCTTTTTATGTCATAACGTCATTATAGTTGCTTGAGAAATGTAACAGCATATGAAAATTGAGCCTGTACTATTTCTTATATTGGAATTATTACTTACATTAGTTTAAATTGTGGTTTCTTCTTACTTTTTCTTTTATTTATTTGAATAATTTGAGTTTCACTTTCTAGATGAAGAACATTTATAGTTGTTATCCCTTTGAGCAATTAGGTTACTAAGGAAATTGTTTATGGTGGTAATGTAACACAAATTTTGAATGCTTAATGAGGTGGATTTTCACATTCATTTGGTTGTTAATGATATTATTGTTTATATCTGCAAAACCTACAATTTATTCTTTTCTTTCTTATTTGAATATAATTACCTAGAAATGCAAAATCTAACTATGTTACGATTGAACTAGCTCCTCCTCCCCTTCCTTCTCCAACCAAAATTAAATGAAGAAAAGGCATGCCTTTTTGGCTATTGGGTAGTGAGAATATTGTGATTGCTTAATGTTAATGCTAAAACTTGATTATATAATCTTAGCAGAATTGTTGAAGTTCCAATACTAGAATGGATGAAGAGCATAATTTTTTAGGAGATAACAGCCTTGAAGATGTGGGATGGCTCTGCTCTTTGTCTGAATCTGAGCTTGTAAGTATCTCGGTGTCCTTTTTGATATATGTGTGTGTGTGTGTGGCTCTGCTCTTTGTCTGAATCTGAGCTTGTAAGTATCTCGGTGTCCTTTTTGATATGTGTGTGTGTGTGTGTGTGTGTGTGGTTCGTGTGTGTTGTTGGCCTCTGCTCTTCCCCATGATGTACCTTAATGAAATCTATTGTGCAAAAACATAATAATCACTTTATATACTTTATATAGTCATAATGTCATGAATCCCTCGCAGCAGCTTGTAGAGTATCTTCGAATAGCATTTAATATCCTTATGTGCACCATTTTTTATGATTTATGTTGCGTGTGTGTTGTCGTGTGTGTGGTGTGTGTTGTGTCTAGTGGAATCAGTTGTCTTATATGCTAGTCTAGTGTGTCTGTTCGTGTACTGTGCTATGACTGTGTACATAGTAGTCTAACTTGTGTCTGTGTCCTGTAGTCCAGTCGTGATTTGTAAAATGATTCTCTTGTTTCATTGTTATCTCATAGTGTCATTTTTCTATAGATGTATGCTTATTTGTTGTTGTTTTCTGTATTCTGCTGTTCGCAATTAGACGTATCTTGTTTGGTTCTCTGTGTGGCCTGTGTTGTTGTTACGCTCGGATCCCAAGATAAGTAGTTGTTACATGGTGTCGTGTTTTACCATGATTTTTTTTTCACATTTGCGTATTAAAGCTTATATTTCGCAATCACATGTGTGTTGAGAATCATAAGAATAAGATTGAGCAATCAACTAAATTAGATATATAATTTGTGTGAGCTGACATTCCATACCTAAGTGTAGTGTATACATGCCATAAATCTTAATACATGGCATCTGTATAGATTCTTTGTAGTGATTGTGTTATACGAGAGTGACTTTGCTCAATATGTGTCTAGTCGCGATGTGAGGCTTCATATCGCTGTGTTTCATATAAATATATGTATATGCATGTACTTAAGAGTTTTCGCTCCATTACTCGTGAGTTATGAGTATGTCTGTGCTATGTCGCCACAGTGATATATCTATGTCTGATCCTATATGGTGAGCTAGGCTCTTGTCGACTTAGATGATTCGCGACACTCAAAGATCATTCAGTGTCATTCATGCACATTGTGGTATAATGGTGTGTTGTTGTTGTCTAGTTAGGGTCTCTGCTAGTCTGTAGCATATCGACGTGTGTCGTGTGTGGGATGTCGTTGTGGTTAAACCTACGCGTGATTTTTAGTTTTTCAATTAAATAATGTATAGGTATTGTAAAAAAAAAAACATTGTGTCTGTTGTCTGGTGTGTGGTGTGTGTAGGTCTATCCTCGTGTGTGTGGTGTATGGTACATCGATTTTTTTTCATTGAATATAATGTGCTTTGTGTGTAGACAGAGTGAAAACATTGGATATAAGGGCTTGCTTTTGTGTGTGTGTGTGTGTGTACATGATTTTTTTTCATTGATTAAGTGTGTGTGAGACAGAGTGAAACTATTGGATTATAATTGGGCTGCCCTCCAAATCATGGGTTGAATTTGACATAAAATGATTTCTGTGGTTCCTGTCATTGTGGCACTCTTAACTATTGAAAATATTTAGGTGTTATATGGAAAGACCTTGATCTGTCACCTTCACTGTGCACTTGTTGATATTAATCATATGGAACTTTACATTTGTCAGAATATGCTGATTAGCTTGAAAATGCTGGTCATTCAACGTGCTAAAGTAATTGGTTATGAGGAACTAGCCACGAAATTTGATCTGAAGATGCTTAGAGCTCTTGGTAAGTTTTCCTCTCCAAACGCTTAAAACTAGCTTTATAATAATAATTATTATTATTATATTTTGTTATTATTTAGGAACTTAGGGTATATTTGCTAAAATTTGATGAAGTGCACAAGGTAAGAAAACTTTTGCTTCAAAACAAATTGGAAGGGAATGCAACTAGGGAAGAATCTTTATCTTACATGATCTGATAATAAGGAATTGTAAGGATCTTCACTGGGTTTGTGAACTGCTTGCTCCTCCATTGCGAGCGGATGAGATCTTTTTGGTGTTTTGCATGTGCTTCTTTTAGATTCAATGAGTCTCTATGAGGGAGAGTTGGAAAATTTCACTTTATGGGGAGGTATTAAATGCAATACTTTGGCTATTATGTTGATCATTTGGAGAGATTGCACCCTTAGTTTTTGCTAACAAAAATACTGTCTAATTATCATTTCTGAGAAGGTTTGTTATATTTTTAAGGTAATTTCGCTCAGCTATATATATATATATATATTGTAAAAGCTTTAGATGTTAAACGGCCGTTTGTGTCTTTACTTTTCTTTGTTGGACTATGCTCCGCATTTCAAGATCTTAGCAAAATGACACTTTTGCTTTAGGCTGCATTGCTTGGATAATCATTGCTTCTCCAATTATTTGACTTATCGATTGCTTAGAAATTATTGAACTACAGAAGACAATTTTCTTCAATAAAATCAGAACATCCAATTGAATGGATATAAGTAAAAGGGTCCATGGAAAAAGACTGTAATGCGTCTAGGAGTGATGTTGAATTATTTGAACCCCCAATGTGAAGTTTCTAAGCAATTTTTATGTGTGATTCTTCCATGAATTGTGACATCTGAATCCTGCATGCATTATTTGTTTGATGAAATACATTATTTGAATCTCAATTTGAAATAATGAACTTTAGTCAATAAATTGATTCTCACTTAATTAAAAAAAAGCAGGATACACAATTCTTTGACTTCGGTCATGAGTGCCTACTTCTAGTTATACTGTTTCTATCTTATTCGCTCCCTTCTCTTTGCACTTGATGTTCTAATAGCACATTCTGATATCTAAATTTCTATGCTAAAACTGTAACTTTACCATCTTTTACTGCCTTAAACCTATATGTAGTTACTGATCACTTTCCATGCAAGACGTTCTGTTGTCTTTCAATTATTTGGCCTGGTTCAAAACAACTTTCCATCTCTTGTAGTTGTTTAGAGGATGATGGTATTATAGAAATCTGATAGGTTTGATTCTTCTAGTCTTGGAGTGCTGATAACTGATAGTGGAGTGGAAAGAAGGAAACCAACCCTTTTTATTTGGAGCTGGGTAGACTTTTATGATTGGTCTTTTTACTTGATTAATAATGTTTTTATATACACATTGTGTGAAATATTCATATGTTGTACAGTCCTTAATTGTTTTAAGGCTCTTTGATATTATTTAAAAGTGAAGAGTATCATGGCAAATTCCATTTTATGCTTGAAACTGCCACGACATATATGTTGAGAGATTTAGTATCTTCTTCAAATATTCTGGACTTGTTTTGCTGGTTCCAACTCTTTGAACCACCCTTTTCTTTGTGTAATATGATAATAGTATATCAACATCCTTCTCTTGCATGGTTTTAGCGAATTGAATAAACAATTTGAAGTTTTCAGTTTTTACAAATGGCATTGCAAGATGACATTATATTACTTAAATGATTAATCAACTGTATGGATGGCTGAATTATTCTCAAAGACTGAAAATTTTCTCGTGTTTTGCACCCTTGAACCATGTGCAGCTCTTGTTTTGATGGAGCATCTGAAAGGAAACGTTGAAAAGTCATCTCATATCTCAGACTTGGACAATTCAACTTCTTTCATGCATGGTTGCAGTTTATTGCAGTCTAAACTTATGGACATCTTGAGCATTCAGGATCTAAAAACACGTATTGGTATTGATGAAAGGAAAAAACCGGTGAAAAGGTATTTGTCTTAAGGAACACTTGAGAATAGAGTTGTGAACTAATTTTCAATTATTGTTTCAAAAACAATATAAAATATTTTTTTAATCTGCTTTATTTCTCTATCATATTACTCCCTTCGTTCCATTTTAATAGCAACAAATAGACATATTACCTTATTCCACTTAAGTGCTCATTTAGGATTTTGAGACTACATTAATTATTTCTTTTCAACTTTACCCATATTTATTAGGTGTAATTTATTTTTAAATTTATATTTAAGATGAGCAATTTAGACATTGTACCATGTTTTTTTAGAAAATTAATGAATTTCAATCATTTTCTTAATCCTTGTTAAAAGATCAAATGTTGCTATTAAAGTATATCAGAGGGAGCAATATAATGGAATAAAATTTTATCAGCAATGATGGGAAATTTGTGATCTGATGTAAGACTTCTTGCACTGAGCACAATCTTGTGAATTACTATAAATCTGCTTTGATTATAACTATCTCTAGAACTCAACCTTACTCTATCTCCACCATTGGCCTTCATATCATCCCTACTTATAAAACCCCTAAATACACCAAGAACATACCTTTCCAGAGTCTTCCCTCTCCTTTATGTTGGACAAATCAAATGGTTCTCTATTAGGAATTTAGAATCCTAAAGAGTTAGGAGGTTAATTCCCCTTATAGCTTTTTTTGACTTAAATATCTGATTAGCTTATTGCCTGTTTGTTCTGTTGGTCTATCCCAAAAGGTTGCAACCTGATTTTTCTTTTTGTTTTTTTATTCATAGACCACGTGAAGACGATGCGGTGAAACAGAAGAAATGATTGGGACAAACATATTATGCAGCCAAACAAAGGTATGGTCATGTGAACACTATTCCTTCTCACACGACTCATCATTATTGTTTGAAATAACTCTGCATTAACCATGTTTTTCTTTTTCTTTTTTTGAAATTTCGTTGTTTAAGAGTTTGGTACAAATAAAGTTGAAACATTTACAAATCTGGAGTTGTCATTTTTGGCATAAATGAAAATCCATTTAGGCCATATTTGAAATGAATAAACTCCACAAACTTATAAATATTATAACTAAATTTTACCATTAACTGTAAATTTAACAAAATACAAAATTTCATGATACCAAATCAAAACAAGGGTTAAAATTTCTTTTTAAATTTAAGAAATTTCCTGTAGGGTCCAGTTGAATTTTGACGTGGTATCAGTTGCAGGTCCTACGATGTAAAATTTGACAGCGAATCGACTAATATTATTAATCCTTTTTGGAATGAAGAATTTACTTTGTTTCTGCCTTCCTTTATCTACTGCTGAAAGTTTTGACTGTCTGCTACTCATCGCCGGGGAGAATATTAGCCGTCCCTTGCAGGGTTGGGATATTTGAAGCTGTTAAAAGAGGCAGCAAGAACCAAGAGTTTACCTGAGGTTGGATTTCCATTGAACTAGTATTATAGGAGTTGGCAATAAAATACATTTTATTAAACAGAGACAGAAAACAGGTAATTTTTTATTTTATTTTTCAGATAGTCTATTAGGTTCTTGATTTTTTATTTTAAGGAGTGCATTGGTAAGAATACATACCTGAAATTAGAAAGCTTATCTTTAGAAAAAAAAAAAAAAAAGGATTTAAGTCAGATTAGGTTTAGAATGTGGTTTTATAAAATGCTAGAAAGATAATACAGTAAAAATGAAAGAAAAGTGAGAGTTCTACCACTAGTCCAAAGAATAAAAAGCTGAGAGGGCCCTAGATGAAGGTGTGTGATAGTGCCAGCGTTAGTTGGTACAAGAGAACAATAGAGAAAAAAAAAAGTGAAGATAGACGGAACACAAAAACACGTAACACTTATTCTCTGAAACCATTAATATCTTAAAATGCTCCATAGCACATTTGATGTGACTCTGTCTGCCCATCACATCCCACGCTCTTGTCTCTCTCCATTCCTATGCTTAATCATCATGCAAAGTTATAATGCACCGCTTTATTCTCTTGGTCTTTATCGAGTTGTTTTTTTTATATTTAGCGTAACATTAGTATAATAATAATTCTCGTATGTTTAAAATTTTATTCACTGTAAGGATTATTGTCATATGTATAATATGCGCTTATTTGTTATAAAAATATAATTTTTTACTCTGACTACGTACCCATAATGAATTTCTAATTTGGATTGTATGCTAGCTAAAGAGTCCACTATTTCCCTAGCCGTAGAATGAATTATTCAATTTGGAATACAATGTCTAGATTATAAAGGGTCCACTTTTCCTGAACTAGACTTAGCCTACTCATAATGATAATTTTGCATCGTGTACCTTGGCATGTATCCACAAATATTTTTCAACGTGCTAACATTTTTAGATTTTATTTGATTTTAATTAAATATTCTGTTGTTAGTGCATTGTATTATTTTTATAATAATATAAGATGATGGAAGAGAGTCTGAATTAAAATTAATTTAATTCAAGAAATATTCAAGTTAGTGCAAAAAATAATACAGCAACTTCTTTTATACTATAAGTCATTATATATTCTAGTTGATTTATAACAAAAATAAATCTCGCGCAATTAAAATATACTCAGGTCATAATTGATAAGAGTTAATGTTGAGAATGAGCATTTAAAAAGCAATTAAAAGATTTATGCACTTCATTCACAAACAAATTTTCTATGTTTCCACAATTCTTGGCTGGATCATCACTATTACTACCATCAATTATTGACAACTAGCTCAAGTTTAATAATCTGTCTGTGTTTTGTTTATTTCACAAAACATATTCTTATATTTTAAGTAAATAATTGTTTTCTGTGTATTTAAAATTATCTCCATCCTACTTTATTATATCTCTATACATATAAATAATGTGATTATTTGATAATAATGTAATAATATTCAGACAAAGCAATAAAAGAAATACAGACTAAAGAAATGCGATATCTCGAACGCGATAAAATAATCTATTTCTCCTATACACATATTAAAAAAAAAATAAGATAATAAATATAAAAGAACAGAAAAACAAAGCAAAGCTCCTAATAGAACGGACTTTATACGTAGAAAATAACTGACTATAAATACGACAGAGTTGGGTATTAACTCATAGTGAATCACGGTTGGGCCCAAAATGCGATAACTCTTTGAACGACGGAAGTGTTTCAATCACGTTATATTGAATCATCACACTTCACAATGAGAACATTGCAAGATGAATTATACAGCGTATGTATTCTTACACAATTTGGCACTTCCTTTAAAAAAAATATCAAGAACCTAATAGCATCTATTACTTGAAATGAATTATATAATAAAATATCAAAAATTCATACGTGTTTATTCGTGTACCTTTGTGTGTAAAATTGTATTTAATTGCAAAAACTCCTGAAATATAATTACTTAGCTTTCAATGGAAATCCAAACCTCAGAGTGAGAAAGCTTCTATCTGTCTTTTTGCAGACCCTTCTTTTTTCTAACAGTAACTATCGCAAACCCTGTGCATAATGGGTTACGCGCAAACTATCTCTCCTCTCGGCGACACTGAGTAGCATTAGAGCAGTTCCAACAATCAATCTGATTTTGATGGTGTCAAGCAAGGCTAGATTAAATGCTGAAGGCAGAAAACAAAGTAAACATGGATCTTCATTCCACAAAACAAGGATTAATAATATTTAGTACACGATTCAAGCTGCTTCAATTATCTTACACTATTTATCTAGCACACGTGAGCTATCTGGATAACCCTTACAAAAATTCTAATCCATAACGTATCCCTACACGTTTGCAATGCAATATTTGCTCTTATTGATTCTAAAAAAGAGAAATTTAAAATCACCTTTGTTTTTTGCTCTATTCAATGAATTCACCTTTGTTATTTATTACGTGTTAAATTTTGTACAGCATCTTTAATGTAAAAGTTATGCAGTTATAATGTGTGTGTGTGTGTGTGTACATGATTTTTTTTCATTGATTAAGTGTGTGTGAGACAGAGTGAAACTATTGGATTATAATTGGGCTGCCCTCCAAATCATGGGTTGAATTTGACATAAAATGATTTCTGTGGTTCCTGTCATTGTGGCACTCTTAACTATTGAAAATATTTAGGTGTTATATGGAAAGACCTTGATCTGTCACCTTCACTGTGCACTTGTTGATATTAATCATATGGAACTTTACATTTGTCAGAATATGCTGATTAGCTTGAAAATGCTGGTCATTCAACGTGCTAAAGTAATTGGTTATGAGGAACTAGCCACGAAATTTGATCTGAAGATGCTTAGAGCTCTTGGTAAGTTTTCCTCTCCAAACGCTTAAAACTAGCTTTATAATAATAATTATTATTATTATATTTTGTTATTATTTAGGAACTTAGGGTATATTTGCTAAAATTTGATGAAGTGCACAAGGTAAGAAAACTTTTGCTTCAAAACAAATTGGAAGGGAATGCAACTAGGGAAGAATCTTTATCTTACATGATCTGATAATAAGGAATTGTAAGGATCTTCACTGGGTTTGTGAACTGCTTGCTCCTCCATTGCGAGCGGATGAGATCTTTTTGGTGTTTTGCATGTGCTTCTTTTAGATTCAATGAGTCTCTATGAGGGAGAGTTGGAAAATTTCACTTTATGGGGAGGTATTAAATGCAATACTTTGGCTATTATGTTGATCATTTGGAGAGATTGCACCCTTAGTTTTTGCTAACAAAAATACTGTCTAATTATCATTTCTGAGAAGGTTTGTTATATTTTTAAGGTAATTTCGCTCAGCTATATATATATATATATATTGTAAAAGCTTTAGATGTTAAACGGCCGTTTGTGTCTTTACTTTTCTTTGTTGGACTATGCTCCGCATTTCAAGATCTTAGCAAAATGACACTTTTGCTTTAGGCTGCATTGCTTGGATAATCATTGCTTCTCCAATTATTTGACTTATCGATTGCTTAGAAATTATTGAACTACAGAAGACAATTTTCTTCAATAAAATCAGAACATCCAATTGAATGGATATAAGTAAAAGGGTCCATGGAAAAAGACTGTAATGCGTCTAGGAGTGATGTTGAATTATTTGAACCCCCAATGTGAAGTTTCTAAGCAATTTTTATGTGTGATTCTTCCATGAATTGTGACATCTGAATCCTGCATGCATTATTTGTTTGATGAAATACATTATTTGAATCTCAATTTGAAATAATGAACTTTAGTCAATAAATTGATTCTCACTTAATTAAAAAAAAGCAGGATACACAATTCTTTGACTTCGGTCATGAGTGCCTACTTCTAGTTATACTGTTTCTATCTTATTCGCTCCCTTCTCTTTGCACTTGATGTTCTAATAGCACATTCTGATATCTAAATTTCTATGCTAAAACTGTAACTTTACCATCTTTTACTGCCTTAAACCTATATGTAGTTACTGATCACTTTCCATGCAAGACGTTCTGTTGTCTTTCAATTATTTGGCCTGGTTCAAAACAACTTTCCATCTCTTGTAGTTGTTTAGAGGATGATGGTATTATAGAAATCTGATAGGTTTGATTCTTCTAGTCTTGGAGTGCTGATAACTGATAGTGGAGTGGAAAGAAGGAAACCAACCCTTTTTATTTGGAGCTGGGTAGACTTTTATGATTGGTCTTTTTACTTGATTAATAATGTTTTTATATACACATTGTGTGAAATATTCATATGTTGTACAGTCCTTAATTGTTTTAAGGCTCTTTGATATTATTTAAAAGTGAAGAGTATCATGGCAAATTCCATTTTATGCTTGAAACTGCCACGACATATATGTTGAGAGATTTAGTATCTTCTTCAAATATTCTGGACTTGTTTTGCTGGTTCCAACTCTTTGAACCACCCTTTTCTTTGTGTAATATGATAATAGTATATCAACATCCTTCTCTTGCATGGTTTTAGCGAATTGAATAAACAATTTGAAGTTTTCAGTTTTTACAAATGGCATTGCAAGATGACATTATATTACTTAAATGATTAATCAACTGTATGGATGGCTGAATTATTCTCAAAGACTGAAAATTTTCTCGTGTTTTGCACCCTTGAACCATGTGCAGCTCTTGTTTTGATGGAGCATCTGAAAGGAAACGTTGAAAAGTCATCTCATATCTCAGACTTGGACAATTCAACTTCTTTCATGCATGGTTGCAGTTTATTGCAGTCTAAACTTATGGACATCTTGAGCATTCAGGATCTAAAAACACGTATTGGTATTGATGAAAGGAAAAAACCGGTGAAAAGGTATTTGTCTTAAGGAACACTTGAGAATAGAGTTGTGAACTAATTTTCAATTATTGTTTCAAAAACAATATAAAATATTTTTTTAATCTGCTTTATTTCTCTATCATATTACTCCCTTCGTTCCATTTTAATAGCAACAAATAGACATATTACCTTATTCCACTTAAGTGCTCATTTAGGATTTTGAGACTACATTAATTATTTCTTTTCAACTTTACCCATATTTATTAGGTGTAATTTATTTTTAAATTTATATTTAAGATGAGCAATTTAGACATTGTACCATGTTTTTTTAGAAAATTAATGAATTTCAATCATTTTCTTAATCCTTGTTAAAAGATCAAATGTTGCTATTAAAGTATATCAGAGGGAGCAATATAATGGAATAAAATTTTATCAGCAATGATGGGAAATTTGTGATCTGATGTAAGACTTCTTGCACTGAGCACAATCTTGTGAATTACTATAAATCTGCTTTGATTATAACTATCTCTAGAACTCAACCTTACTCTATCTCCACCATTGGCCTTCATATCATCCCTACTTATAAAACCCCTAAATACACCAAGAACATACCTTTCCAGAGTCTTCCCTCTCCTTTATGTTGGACAAATCAAATGGTTCTCTATTAGGAATTTAGAATCCTAAAGAGTTAGGAGGTTAATTCCCCTTATAGCTTTTTTTGACTTAAATATCTGATTAGCTTATTGCCTGTTTGTTCTGTTGGTCTATCCCAAAAGGTTGCAACCTGATTTTTCTTTTTGTTTTTTTATTCATAGACCACGTGAAGACGATGCGGTGAAACAGAAGAAATGATTGGGACAAACATATTATGCAGCCAAACAAAGGTATGGTCATGTGAACACTATTCCTTCTCACACGACTCATCATTATTGTTTGAAATAACTCTGCATTAACCATGTTTTTCTTTTTCTTTTTTTGAAATTTCGTTGTTTAAGAGTTTGGTACAAATAAAGTTGAAACATTTACAAATCTGGAGTTGTCATTTTTGGCATAAATGAAAATCCATTTAGGCCATATTTGAAATGAATAAACTCCACAAACTTATAAATATTATAACTAAATTTTACCATTAACTGTAAATTTAACAAAATACAAAATTTCATGATACCAAATCAAAACAAGGGTTAAAATTTCTTTTTAAATTTAAGAAATTTCCTGTAGGGTCCAGTTGAATTTTGACGTGGTATCAGTTGCAGGTCCTACGATGTAAAATTTGACAGCGAATCGACTAATATTATTAATCCTTTTTGGAATGAAGAATTTACTTTGTTTCTGCCTTCCTTTATCTACTGCTGAAAGTTTTGACTGTCTGCTACTCATCGCCGGGGAGAATATTAGCCGTCCCTTGCAGGGTTGGGATATTTGAAGCTGTTAAAAGAGGCAGCAAGAACCAAGAGTTTACCTGAGGTTGGATTTCCATTGAACTAGTATTATAGGAGTTGGCAATAAAATACATTTTATTAAACAGAGACAGAAAACAGGTAATTTTTTATTTTATTTTTCAGATAGTCTATTAGGTTCTTGATTTTTTATTTTAAGGAGTGCATTGGTAAGAATACATACCTGAAATTAGAAAGCTTATCTTTAGAAAAAAAAAAAAAAAAGGAAAATTCGGCCGGAGGGTGAGAGAGTGAGGCCCGGGTGCGCGCGCGGGGCGTTCGTTAAAAATGTGGCAATACGATAATGCACTCTTCTCAAGATAGCTAATATACGCCGTGCCCTTCCCGGAGGAAATCTTAGGCGCTATATACTCTATCCTCCCTTCTAATCGAGGATTAGAAATATATTAGTGGCGTTAGTATTCGGTGGGGGCGCTATCGAAAGTGGTAATAAGAGGGGGGGGGGGGGGCCCCCCCGGGGGGCCTCCTTTAATTTTTACCCAAAAAGGAGGTCGGGGGGATCTTTCCCCCCGGGGGAAAAAAAAGAAAAAAAAAATTTGGGGAAATTTTTTAACGGGGGGAAATGGGGGGGGAAGGAAAAAAAGATATAGGTGTCTTCTTTCCAAAGGGGCCCCACTTCCGGGGGGCGGCCCTCGTATTTTCGTTGTTAGGGGATTTCTCTTACAATTAAATATATCTAAAGTGTCTTATTGAAGCCAAGAGAAGCAGGAAAAGAGAAGGGGAGAGTGGTGTTGTTGGATATAATATTTTTATGTATAATAAATATAATATTACCAAGATAATACCTCATCTAGGTGTATTCACCAGTGGTGGCTTCCAGATTGCCGTGTGAAAAGGATAAAGTCTTTATTCTGAAAAACACTAGGGTATAGAGATTAATCTATATTAGAAAAGACAGAGAGAAAAAAAGGTACTTCAAGTTTTTGTTGTGAATAGTGAGTGTGATGAACACCTAAGGGAAAAGTAGAAGGATACACTCGCAAGAATATAAGAAGACGTCAATACGCCAGTTGGGGCTTACATACTCTGATTCTCTTAGTGATATTAAATATCAACTTCGCTCGTGTGGCGCGTGTGCTCTCCTCGTGCTCATTAGGTTGTCGATTACTCGATATTATATTATATGCTTTTCTCGGAGCGCGCATGTGCTCTTTATATGTTTTTATATGGGGTGTTTTTGTATTATCTTTATTATGGTGGACATTAGTAATAATATATAGAGGCCGGGTGGCGAAAGAATTTATTATCAGCTTTTCTTTTATGCTCTATTCTGTGGGGCGCGCGTTGGTGGTGGCAATTATTATTTTTATATTTCTCATAATTAAATTTCATTTAACCCTCTGTGGGTTGTTATTTTTCTCCTCATAAACCCTAATTTATTTCATAATTATATATAGACCTTAATTCCATATAGAAGGGTGGTAGGCGATACACCAAAAATATAAAAAAATAAAACATCTGGCCAGGATGAATATACCTTTCCACGGTATGGAGAGACAGATGGTTCTGGCTTGGGAAAAAAATGAATACATACGTGAAGGTAAAAAGAAGTGAATGAATGAGTGCTAATCGTGTAGAGAGGGGGGCCGAGGGATTTTTTTTTTTTTTTTTTTTTTTTTTTTAATTTATAGAAAATAGATATTTACGTCGGAATCCTTTTTCTTTGTTGTTTCTTTTGCTTTGCTGAATATATTTTATCAAATAATTCATTTTTTATATTTTGATTATAATATAAAAAATAATTAAATAATTAAGAAAAATTAATTTACTAAAATTAAAAATACTTGGAATAAAAAAAACGATTAATTTTGCTAGTTGTCAATAATTGATGGTAGTAATAGTGATGACTAGCAATGTGGATTCAAGAATTTGTAGTATTGAATGCATATATTTAATTGCTTTTAAATGCTCATTCAATTACTTTATCCATATGACCGAATATTTAATTGCTTCGATTTAAATTTTTTTGTAGAAAATCAAACTGAATATAATTATTTATAGAATGAGTCTGGTTTAATTTTCAATAACATATTTTTGAATTAAATTAATTTAATTCAGATTCTCCCATTTTATATAATAAAAATCAAGCCAAACAGATAAAATTTATTAAAATCAAAATCAAAATCTAAAAATTTAGAGGTTGAAACTTTTGTTGGATACATGCCAGGTACACTGAATGAAAATATCATTGTAGGCTATGTGATAGGGAATAGTGGACTCTTTAACTAGCATTTACCAAATTGAAATTCATTATGGGCTAGGGAATAGTGGACTCTTTAGCTAGCATTTACCAATTTGAAATTCATTATGGCTACGTAACAGAGGATATTATATTTTTTCAATAGCATTTATCAAATGACAATAATCTTACAGTGAATAAAATTTAAACTCGAGATTTTTTACTTTTTACGTATTAAAAAAAAAAACCGATAAGACCAGAGCATACGTGAGTTAAATTTGCAATGATGATTAAGCATAGAATGGAGGAGAGACAAGGCGTGGGATGTGATGGGAGAGAGACACAAATGTGTTGGCTTTTGAGATTATGGTTTAATTAATAAGTGATTTGGCCGTACTACTTTTTTCTTTGTTTCTTTGTACCAACTAACGCATGGCACTAAAGCTTCTCGGGGCCCCTCCTGTTCTCTATCTGACTTTGTAAAGAGCTCTCCAGTCTTCTTTTCTTTTCTTTTTCTTTTTTCTTTTTACCACAACTGATACTTAATTTATTAAATTATTCAAAAAATAATTAATTAAATTAAAAAAAATAATTACTTAGTCCCTTAAACTTAATAACAATTAAAATTTAATCTTTTTAAGCAAATATATTGACCAATTCCTAAATTTTGAGTTGAATCTTCAATTTAAAAAGTGTTATTTTTGTCGTTAATTGATATATTAAATAATAATTAAATAGTAAACGTGAAAAGCTAAATAATAACATTACACTTCACTAAATGAAAATGTTTAAATAGTCAAATATTATAGAGTATGTGATCTCTAAGATAAACTTTTTAGATAACATAAGTTTAACGTGTTTAAACTTTACGGACTAATCGGTAAATTTGTAAAATAATAATATGAAATTATATAATCCTAGGACTAAATAGTAATTTACCTTTAAATAGTAATATACTTTGCTTCCACCCAAGTTAAAGATTATGGAGAGTTGTGGAATTTCTTTTGGAAAATTTGAGTCCGCTACGCAATACAAATTTTCACCAAGAAGTCAAAACTCATAATTCCAAAGGGAAATAACAGTATTTTAAAGATAGTTCAAAAGGTAGGATTAGGGCCAAATTATGATCATGGAAAACCCACCTTGTCTCCATTTTGTGACGTACACATATGGTATCGCACGTGCACGTCACGTTCCAAAAATCAGAAAATCCTTTGATCTCCTACAAGCCTCTCCATTAATATGAGACAATGACTAAGCAAAGACATCTTTTTTTTAGTCCTAGGTCGGGTGTAGGAGTCGACCTGATGATCGGGTTTAGATGGACTTCAAATGCTAAGTTTTTTTCTATGTTTTATTAATATAATTACTTTATTTCAAAAAAGAAGGAAGAAAAAAATTAGTTGCTCTAATGGAAAATGAGTTAAAAGTTAGGTTTTACACAGAAATCGTAACCTTAGTCTTAAGATAATAACTAAGTGTCGGCAAAAGAAAATTACAAAGAAATCAAATAAAATACTTATAATTAGTGGATAATGGTCATTGGACCTAAAGGCTTTTGCTTAAGAATCACGGCACTTATTTACTCCCTCCATGAGATCATGCAAACACCAAAAACGAAATCCACCAATCAAAGTCTCAACTTTGGAAATATATATTAATTATATTCTTTAGCTAATTATTATGTTTGGGCTAATAAGTAATTAGTATGTGGTTAACAACTTCTAAGGTCAATGTCATTATTAAATCATTTGTATGGTCTTGTTCTTTGAATGTCCAGGCAAAATCATGTAATTGTAATCAAAAGAAAATCTTTTTTTTTTTTTTTTTTTCAAAAGAAAATCCTTTTTTTTTTTTTTTCTCTTTCTGTTTAATAAAGCATCCAAAAGTGCAATTTGGTCAAACTCTCTTCCATAACTAATTGTCTGCCAACTATGCAAGTATTCAAATAATTTAGAAAATAGTTCTATTAATAGAAAAAGCATATATTTTTTTTTTTTTTTTCTCTTTCTGTTTAATAAGCATCCAAAGGGTAATTTGGTCAAATCTCTTCCATACTAATTTGCTGCAACATTGCAAGTATTCAAATAATTAAAAATATTCTATTAATAGAAAAGCATTAATATAACAATAATGCGAACAACTCACATTGGCAAATTAAAGGTAAAAAAGAGTAATTTAAATGAGATGAATCTGTAAATTCAAAGCAGTTTTATGCTAAAACTGTCAATTCATTTCCTGTCTGGGAAGATAAAGTTAGAGGATTTAAATTAGTAAAATTAAATAAAATTTTCTTTTAAAGAATTTAAAAGAGGTTCGTTTGTCCAAACACTAGGATATAAATGTTATCTGTGATAAATAACCACTTACACCTAGGAATTTGAGGATTCCTTTCTCGTTAGATTCAAGATTTTTTGAGTTAGGAACATTTATATTATTTTTAGGTATTGCTTTTCTTTAAATTTGTTATTTATTCCAAACTTTCTAACCACTTTGGATTATGGGATGTTTTATGTTGGTTAGTTAGTAGCCGTTGAATAATGCATTCTTTGTGAATGTAATACTCATTTTTCTTTCGAAATATGACCATTAAATTTATTCTATTCATAGTTTTTTTGTGACTTGGTTGGAATGATTGTTATTATCTTTATTATTATTATTATTATTATTATTATTATTATTATTATTTTACAACATTGAAGTGTTAATATTATCTCATGTTTTGTATGAATGATAAAGACAGCACCGTGGCTAAAGAAATACAACCTGTTTACTCATATTTGAGTGAAATTTTCGTTGCTAGTTCTATTTTCTTAACAGAATATCATTTTTTGTGATTTGAAGACTAAGGAGCAACATAACATGTGATGAATGATCATGAAGTCTTTGTTGATTTTTGTCGCTTATTCATTAGGACACAATAGATTTATGTGGGAAACAATGCACGTATTGGAGTCAAAGGAATTAGTACATGCAAATTAATTTTTTATGAAGGATTGACCTTGATCCTACATGAAGTCTTATATGCTTCAGAAATTCGACGGAATTTGATTTTAGTTATTATTTTACTTAGATTGGATTTCAATTGGTATTTTCATGGTAATTCAGTATGTTTATATTTGGAAATAATGTTTTATGGTTCTTGTTTTATTTTGAATAATTTATTTTGAATGTTGTTCAAAGTGCAATTTCCAATGTTAGTTTTTTCCTTTTCTATAAATTCACAAAATTATGAAAATGATCGATTTGAATGTATGAACATATTGTCAATAAAGAATGGATTGTTTAACAGAAGTAGGTTTTCAAGGTGAAAATGTCTACCTGTGAATATTGTCTAGCGAAAAAACTGCCAGGAAACCATTTGGAAAAGGAACTGGAGCCACCATATAATTGCAATTAGTTCATTCTGATATTTGTGGTCAAATGGATGTGAAGGCTAGGCAAGGTGCCTACTATTTCATTAGCTTTATAGATGACTATACACGCTTTGATTATGTCTATTTGATTTCACATAAGTTTGAAGTTTTAAGTTGCTTTAAGAATTATATTAACTTGATCATACTTGCGGTTTAAACCTAGCTACTACTTGAGCAATAACGGTAACTATTCCTCCATCACAGATCAAGCTTTTCTTTCTAGTAGCAATAACAAACAAGTGTTCACCTATCCACAACCGAAAGTTCACCTTAATGATCCTCATCATGCAATAGATAATAAATTACTTAGGATGAGAAACTACATTATTCCTATCTCCACGCCCAAATATGGTATATGTTAAAAGTCTATGGACATACCAAATGACTAGATTTCTAATTTTAAATGCCTTACGCTTACTGGGATGATAAAGTTGAGTGAGTATAATTATTATGCTTCCCCGAAATGCATGAGCATTGAAATTCGCAAAAATGTCATCAACCCCATTGTTTGGAAATCAAAATATATAATTTAGCTTTTTAATAGTCAAACTATAAGCATTTTCCACAAAGTAAAAGTCATTTTTTCTATAGTTCTCCTTAGAAACTTGTCTCTTTTCTATTCCTAAGGTAGAGAGAAATATAAGAATAAATTCCTTAAATCCTAGGAATTCATTTTTACAATTTTTGATAGCACGACCAAATTAATAAATCACATGTAGTCATCTTCAATTTGCAAAGTGCCCATAAATTTATCATCTATGTATCTATCATGCATAAATCTCCTAGGAGAAAGATCAAAGTAACTTTTTTAGCTCGGTAAAATCCACTCTAGGGTTTGAGGATGAAGCTCCCTTAGTTTCAACCTTTATGTTCACTAATTGCTTGATTCTAGGCATGATTTAAAGTCTTCAAATTATAGAAAATCTTAAGCGGCTATCGACTTTGAGAGAGAGAAGAGAAGAATAGAAGAGATATAAGGTAGACGAAAAAAAAAGGTTTGTTGAGTTGGAATTTGAAACGTGAGTTTGGTAAAGTAACTCGACACAGATGTGTTGGCCTAAATTGAAGAAAATCTTTAAAAGAGTCAGGAGCCTACATGACCCATCAACACATTCGTGTTCCTAAGAATTTGACTTGTGTTAAAATAACACGATCATGTTGCCGTTGATGAAGAATATTCCTTTTCATTTTGTTTTTAAAACTCCAAACACCACTTCCAGAAACCTAAAACAGACAAAATAAACTCCCATCGTCGTTAAGGAATTGGACGATACATGCATATATACAAGGTTATTATAATATCGAGTGAGTAAATCAAGGTTGTCTCTCAAGGAAGCAATATTTGCAAAATTTTAAATTAATTAATTTGGTACAAATTGAAATTAAAAAGAATCCTAAACACTCTAAACTAGTTTATCCACTACAAAAAAAACGCTAATTTGCGACCGAAATTTGCGACCGACAAGTATCGGTCGCAAATTTGCGACTGATTTGCTACACAAGAATAAACAGTCGCAAATTTTAGCGGTAACAATTCCCGCGATTTTGTTTCTCAGTTTGCGACTACTATGTGACGGATTTGCGACCGATTTTGCGACCGATTTGTGACGGATTTGCGACCGATTTTGCGACCGATTTGCGACTTAGGGTTATTCCATCGCAAAATTTCGCGGTTCAAAATTGGGAATAAATTTTGCGATCGATATGCGACATATTTGAGACCGACTTATTGCGACCGACTGTGGTAGTCGCAAATCAGTCGCAAAATGACACGAAAGTAAAACGACGTCGCAGGGTAAAAAATTGCGACCGATATTAATAGAATTTGCGACCGACTGTCGGTCGCAAATTTTAGGGCTTTAAACTCCTTCTTTCTTTCTTCTTTCTTTCTTTCTTCTCCTCCCCTCTCCTTCTCCTCTGTTCGCAAGGGCGCTCAGCCGCTCCTAACGCCGCTCCAGCCCGCCTGACGCCGCTGCAGCCCTCGTTGACGCCGCTCCAGGGCCCCTCCGATCACTCTACCCACCCGTCTTCTTGAGGTATTTTGCGATTTGTGTTTCAAATTTTTTGAATTTTTTTTTTTGCGATTTATTTGTATTTGGGCATAATTATTTGTATATTTGTAACGTTATTTAGTTTATTGCATCTTATTGTTTCATTGAAACTAGTCTGTTGAGCATCATAATCAATTCTCATTGAGCTAATGATTTCCAGCTACATTGGTCATATTTTTCTTCGTAATTGTTTGTTTCTTTCATATTTCAACACTTTTTTTTTTCTAATTGTTTAGCTGTTCCTTATATTTTGCCATGTCGCTTTATTAGGTTACCTCTTATTCTATAATTGATAACTGTCCCTATAAGGCAATAACCTTTTATGTACCTGTTAAAACTGTTTCCATAACAATTTAAGAATAGTCTATTTCATAGAAACAATAATTTAAATTGGATGGCCTGTATTTGGTCTATTGTTCAATCAAAATTAATTAAGATGGAACAAAGATATGTCTGCCAATTTTGAGCCCATTTGAATTGGAAAAATTATGTTCACCACCCCAAGCTTACAATACAAATTTAAAGGCCTCCTAGCAGCTATTCTTAAAGAAAAATAAAAAGCGATGGCAGTAATTTTTTTATTAAAAATTTTGTTATTTATCAATTATATAATTTTTAATTTACGTAAATGTATGAATGTGGGAAATATATGAATTTGTGCAAAAACGGACATTAATATTATTTATATTCAACGTTAAACTGCTTCCTAATTTAATATTATTTTTAAGTTCTTTCTGTTTAATTTTTTTTTTTTCTTTTAATCATGTTGTCGTACATAAATAGCATCTCAAAAAGTGTTTTTGTGTTATATATTAAAATCCCCTCCCTTCCCATTCCTTTCAATCCTAATTGTAGTAGAATCCAATCCATAAGTTAGAAAAGCACTACTACATGTTCATTGGACCATCATCATACCATCATCATAAGTACAGTACTGCTAATGATGATAAAAACCTAGAAATTGATTAAGGTAGAGAAATAGAAAGAAATTAATTAAGAAAGATAAGTTCTATTACATAAGTACTGAAAATTAACTAGCAATTATTAAATAATTGATCATTAAGCTCTATTATTGCATTATTAAATTGCTAATTATGGCAGCTTGTGCATTTTGTGCATTTTGTGTTGGACCTTATTAGCAGCTCAGGAACTGAAGCATCTTTTGCAGCCAGATATGGTTGTTTGGTTATCATAGAAAATGTAAGGCTCTTTGAAATTTTTAGATCAAAACTTAAAGTTATATGCTTCTTCAAACTAAATTTGGTTTTAGTGCTCTGCAGGTTGAGCGTCTAGCTGTTGGAGCATTAGTCTCTATAAGGGGAATTGGTCGTGTCAAGATTGTGAAATTTTTGCAGGTGAATTTCAAAAGACTAAAGTGCCAACTAATTCGATGACTAAAGTGCCAACTAATTCGATGAAGTATTGGTATATAGGCTGGAAACCCAGAAGTGCGGGCTACTGGTCCAAAGGACTATTTAATTAGTCATCTTCTTGGTATAACAAAGCCACGTATCATACTTAAATTGTATGTTGATTCTCAGGTAAATGAATTTTATAAGTGTTCATATAAATCCATTAAATCATAGTATTTTCATGTTACTTCCGCCTTAAAATTGGTATCAGAGCCACTAGGGCACTATCGGGCCCGCTCCATGGAGGGTTCTCACAGTGTGACACTGTGACGAAGCACTGGCTCTTACCTCCAAGTTATCCTATTCGACGCTCTGAAGCCTGGCGGTTAAATTCCCCAGATCCTTCACCGTCAGCCCTTCAATGGGGTAGGTTGGCATTGTCGCGAGGCAACAAAATCGATAAAGCCGTAAAAAGTGGTTCTGAGGTACTGCAGGTTGGAATACTTCAAAATGTGTAGCTTATTATGACTCAGCTTCTCCAAGGCAACTAATTATTTGTTTGCAATTCCAATTTGCAGTCAGAGCCTTACTTGATAGGTGAAGTTATAGGACTGGATTATCCTTGAAGGTGAAAGCATTATAAACTTCAAAAAATAACTTTACAGTAAAGGAGGCCTCTTTACAGTTTGAATAGCTTTGGAACATTAAATTAAAGGTAATTCACTGGTTTTGAAATGTGTCCATGAGAGCACAGCGGATTGTAATGTATTCATATATGACAGCAAAATATTGATTGTGCATTGTGAAAAAAAAAATAATGCTATTCATGGATTGAAGGGTTTTAAATGATTTAAATTAGTTATTTTGGATATTATTATGAAATAATGCTTTATTTTTATTATTGTTGTTATTATTCTTAAATTTTTTTTTTTAATGAATGATGCGTTTGGTTTGGTTGGAGGCCTAGTAGTGGCCATTTTGCTTTTGGAGAATGTTGGTATGATATAGGAGTGGATATTGAAGTGTTTTTACATTTGAAATTTGATTGAGTTGTGCCGAAGTGCTGCCGAATTTTTAGCAAAAAAATTCAATATGTGGAATCGTATACTTACCTTTATTAGGGTAAAGGTAATAATAAATGAACTTATGAATAAATGAACTTATGATTTGCAATTTATAATAGGTACCCTTATTGTATAGAAATTAACTTAGTTAGTTATTAAGCGTAAATTGAAATTACATAGTGGCATGTTTTTAAGGATGTTTTAGACTAATGGCAATACATATAATTCACCCTTCATAAACAATTGTTAAATTAGGTAAAAAAAATGCGAAATAATCGAGATTGGATGTTACTGGAGGTTCGAGGTCAATGGGATATACGACAAGAAGTTCCGTGCAAGGATTTTAGAGGCGTTTATAAGTTTGCAGTTGGTAATCCCAGTTTTATGGATGGTTTAATAAGTTGAGGTGTCCATTAAATCCCACAAAAGTGTCGAGAATCGAGTCTTCTTAGACATCGATTACAGTGAAACTTCATTTGTGCAAAAATGGGTTCGTCGGAAAATTATTACGGGAATGGATAACATCATGGTGAAGCTCGAGTTGCCAGTGGGTCAGGGCCACTCCATTCCGGTAAGTTTAGGAAGTTCAGCTTATCAATTTCTGTATGGTAATCAATGCAATTGATATGGTGATTCGATGCGAGGATTAGATTACAATGTGATTGGGATAATATGGAGGAATCGCCAAACGTTGCAGGCCACAACAATTGTTTGACCATGCTAAGTCAGCTAACAGTGAAACAGTGAACTGTGGCCTGGATGCAAGAATCATTCAGTTCTGTCTGTTGTTGCACGATTACTACACATGAAAGCGGAGCACCATTTCTCAGAAAGGTGTTACGATGATTTTGTGCAGTTAGCAAAGGAAATGTTGCCTAAAGGCCATTCAATGGTTGATAATTTTTATCGAACAAAAAAATTAGTTCGGGGATTGGGACTACCAGTAGAAAAGATTGATTACTGTCGTAATAATTGTATGATATTCTGGGGTGTTGACTCGGAATTCAGAGAATGCAAGTTTTGTAATCTTCCAAGATATAACGGCGGGCTCAAGGGACGGTTTAGAGTACAAAGAAAGAGAAGGCTTTCAAGAAATGTATATTTCCCTCTTGTCCTCGCCTTCAAAGTTATATTTGCATCTAAGGCGACAGCTGAACACATGACATGGATGCTTTGCATGAATATTGATTGATGTATAATGACTCATCCGTCAGACTCTGAAGCGTGAAAATTTGATAACATTCATTCCTGTGTTTGCTGCTGATATGAGAAATGTGAGATTGGCTCTGTATGATGGGTTTCAGCCGTTTGCCAATCAGACAAAAAATATTCCATCATGGCCTGTCCCATTGTTGACACCATATAATCTACACCGTCAATGTGTAATGAAAGATGGAATATAGTTTTGTGTGTATTGTTCTGGCCCTTACTAATCCAAAAACCATTAAAATTGGATGGGTTTCATGTGTTTCTGCAGCCTTTGATTGCCGAACTTAATTATTTATGGGAATATGGGGTTGAAACATTCGATATTTCGACCAATCAGAATTTCATAACGCGACCTGCTTTCCTTTGGACCATCAGTGATTTCCAGCATTTGCAATGTTATATGGGAGAAGTAGAAAGACAATGAACAACGGTGTTTTGCATAAAGGGATCAAACAACAATGACGTGTCAAACTATTTTTAAGGGAAATTGGTCGAGGTTTTAGAGTTAGAATATCCAGGCCTACTAATGAAGTGCACAATCTTATTCAAATGTGAATGGTTTTATCCTATGCCAAAACGTTGGCACGAAGGTTCGTCCTAAGTATAATATGGTAGATATTAATCAAAGAAGAAGATATACAAAGTATGAACCTTTTGTGTTGGCAATGCAAGCTGCACAAGTGTACTATGTCCCAGCGGGTGGAAAAGCCGAAGCCATCTTCTGGATTTGGCCCCATACTGGAGTTCAAACTTCTTAATCCGTCATAACCTTGATGTCATGCACATAGAAAAAAATGTGTTTGGAAAAATCTGTTCAAACACTGTCATGAAACATTGAAGGGAAAACCAAGGAAATGCAAAAGCTAAGCAGACATGAAGGAAATTTGTCGTCGACCAGAACTCGAGCAATCTTACTTACTGTAAAGTTTCCAAAAGGGCATGTATTTAGATAAACCCCAAAGGCAATTATTGTGCGAATGGCTTTACGATCATTAAGGTTTCCAGATGCTTTACTGTTCAATATGGGTAAGATGTGTGGACATGAGGAAGCACAAGATTGTTTGGTATTGAAAAGCCATGATTGCCATGTTTTCATGCAAAAGATTGATCCCGTTGGGCATTCCGGAGATATATTACAGGAAAAAAATTTGGGAAGCAATTACAGAATTGAGTCCTCTTTTTCAAGGAGATGGACAATGACTGTTATCCGATGCGATGATATGACCAATTAGCGCGAGGAAATCCCAGTAGAGTAGTATGTGCCAAGTTGAGCCGATTTTTTCCACCCGGCTTCTTTGATTCTATGGAACATCTTGCCGGTTCATTTGCCCTATGAATGTCGTTTAGCAGGATCGGTACAAATATCGATGGATGTATCCATTTGAGAGGTGATTCAAGAACATTCTCATTCTAATGATTACATCATTATTTGAACTTTGATTACTTACATATTTAAAATTGTACAATGACAGACACTGCAGGGAAAAATTAAAAAAAATGAGTGCAATAAGGCAAAGGTCGAGGGATCCATTTGCAATGCATATTTGGGTGGAAGAAGCTCACATTCTGTTCACACTCACTTTGACCAACAGTTTTCACCAAAGCATCGGAGAGTGCCACGTAATGATGACGGAGAGATCGCGTACAAATCTGAGTTTGAAGGGAAATATTAAAAATTTTCACCTATCCTGGGGCGTACGATTGTAAATAAAAAAAAAGACGATTGACTGATGCAGAGATAACAAGCGGCTCAAACCTATATTTTATTGAATTGCGAAGAGATCACACCATATGTACAGTAAGTATAAATAATGTAAACATTCTAAACTTGATGTGGGCCATTGTTAAATCATACTTATGCTAATATGGTTCGTTGATAAATAGGAAATATATCAATCTTCTGCGGCTTCAAAATCTCAATCTGACTGATATTACAGTTGAAGCAAAGCTGGACACGAAATTTGCAGAATGGTTCAAATATTATGTAAGTTACTTTCAATGTACACAACACGGAATGTACATTTATTAAATCTGACTCATGCATTACTATTTCCCCATAGGCTCGAAGCTCGGAAAGCGATATTCGGCTAACAGATTTATTACTGATCTGGCAAAAGGGCCATTACCGGTTGCTAATGCCTTACTCTGGCTACTTTGTAACACGGTACAAGTTTCACACTGAGGTTATGGGAGAGAAGCAGAAAGACAGATGAACAGCGGTGTGTGCATAAAGGGATCGAACTACAGTGATGTTGTCAAACGATTTTATGGGAAATTGGTTGAGGTTTTGGATGTTTGAATATCCAGGCCTACATGAAGTGCACAATCTTATTCAAATGGATTGGTTGATCCTTACGCCCAAACATTGGCACGAAGGTTCATCCTAAGTATAATCTGGTAGATATTAATCAAAAAAAGAAAGATATACAAAGTATGAACCTTTTGGTTTGGCAATGCAAGCTGCACAGGTGTACTTATGTCCCATATCCATCGTGTAAAACGAGACCGATGCGATTGGATGGCAGTGTGTTAGTGTGTAAAATCAAGGCTAGATCAGTTGTTCATGCACTTGAAACGAAACAATCTTCTTCACTCGCAGTATCGGAGGCATTTCCAGAAGTTAGGGTTGAAACGCAACTGATGCAAGTTGTTGAAGATTTAACAGATAGATTAGATGATGAAAGCCGATCTTATGTTTAAATAGGACCATCAGATGATGAAGAGGAAGAAGATCAATAGATCATGGGTACCTCAGAAGATGAATATGAAGAAGAGGAAGCTGATGAAGACGAGGAGGAAGCAGATGATATTCAAGACACTTAAAACTTAGAGCAATTTTACTGTTACAAATTGATAAATGTATATGTAATTAATATTAATGAAGAAAATCAACGGTACTAACTTTCTTTACTCATGATTCTACGACATGTTCAAACAATTCATATAATTGTATAAATTCATTTTTTTTCTAGGTTCTGATATTCTGCAGTACAGATGGCTAGAGCAGAGCGTTTGATTCTGAGCGCTCCGGCAGTGGTTCGCGTGGAGGGACGTGCCTTGGACGGCAAGTGCCCTGGTTGGACGAAGGAGGGGTCGATCCCTCATCCTTCGTCAGGTACGTTGGTGCTTCGTCATCTGCTCAGCGGACCAGTACTGCCGCCATCCACCATTCCTTCTTCAGGTACGTCTGGGCTTCATCCTCTACTCAGCGTCCAGTACTGCCGCCATCACGAGCCTTCTGTCCTTCCTCATTCTTACCCCCGTTTCTGGACCAGTACAGACTCCAACCAGCTGCACAGTCACCTACTGTGCAAGGTAATCATAAATGTCATAAC